CCCCCCCCCCCTCCCGCGCGTCCCAACTGAACGACACACTATCTTGTTGAGAAGCCGGTACCTGTACATGTTGAACAACACCGGACCTGTAGTCTTCAGTACGTCTCCGCAGATTGTGCTGTTTCCTCTCGTATCACCTCTCACTTCCTGTAAACAAACTTCTTTCATTGCATGTTATTTGTCCAATAGACTATAATGAATGACACGTTGTCTCTATTACTGCAAGACCGAGAGCACGCCGCTGATTGATGCTCGCCCTCAGTCCGAGGCTACAAGGTAGGCATAACAGTCAATAATGCTGCCGCAAAGGGTTCTTTTGCAGAAAGATCGGTCGTGCCAACGCGGAAGAAAATGGTGCACGTGGTGAGTGTTTGCTTGGTGTTCGCTCGATCCCCTGCTTGCCGTGCACGTGCCTTGGGTGGGGAGGTCGTTAGCATCCATCAAAAAAGACAAAACATTAGACTACATAGATACAGACAAATGATACCACATGCGAGCGGGTGGGTGTCTCTTACTCGAACACTGCAGCAAACCTGTTGTGATACGCAGCAGACATGTAGACAGCTGTGTCGGTAAAACACGATCAAAATACTAGTCTACTACCGGAGTACATAGACTAGACTATGTTACAGAACAGAGTAGTAGGAGTAGTAGTACAGTAGTAGAGTCACTATTAATACAGCACCTCTTGTACGCGCTTCGTATCTACCTGGCCGGAAGAAGAATGCGCATTGGAACAGTGCTGTCCAACTCTTTGCTAGATGATGCTGTTGGCAGGTCAAGGGAGAGCTGTGAAGAGTGAAGAGGTGCTTCACAAGAAGGGGACGGGGGGGGGCTACTGCTGTGGTCACCGTTGGTGGTCATCTTATTTTCCGTTCCTGCCCGCGGACCACGACGGCGTCATCGCCGTTCCAAGCGGGAAAATTCACATAAAAGTGTTGTTGTTTGGATTATGTGGTGAGCAACATTCTCGGGCTAAATATTACGGAGGAACATAGTATTCAGGTCCTTGGCAGTTGGTTGAGCAATATTAGGTCAATTGTTTCGATCTATAGCTTAAACGAACCGTCCGAAACAGGCGGTCACGTTGAAAAAAAAATAAGAAAAAAGTCGGCGATGCCACAAAGAAATGCCTCATCATGTATTTATTTTTTTTTGCCGTCTTCCGACAATTGCAGATGTACCTCAGAAAACTTTCACTTAATGTCTCATGCTCTACATGAATATTAAACCAATACGAAGTACAACAACATATGTAGGACTGATTTCTTTACATCGTAAAAATATCTCCTCTTCAACTTGAAATAAAACCAATGACAATCCT